GAAACAGCTGAGCAGGAGAGGCTTCTGTAAAAAAAAAAATTGATGTTTTGACCTGGATTGATGCGGGCCCACCGATGCAGCGCTGATACTCTGTAAACCGAACCTCTGGAGGCAGCGCTCAGCAGGACTGTCACCCTGCCGGCTGCCAGCGTGCAGACATAGAGAGCTTTCTGTGAGCAGCTAATATGAAAGTATTTCTGGGATGTTGACTTTGTTATTTTCAGCAGAAAGTTGGAGGACGTCACAGTGTTTATGTTCTTACCTGGCACAGTGATTCACTCCATTTATTCTCGCTGCGATCAAGGGGGAACTGTTTGGTTGTCAAACGGTGAACCGAGTCCAAGAAACGAACTGTTTGCATTCTGACTGACTTCTTAAAACTTGGCTCTGGTGCCTTTGCTTCCAGTTGATTTATCCATCTCAGCTGTGGGAACAGCTAACAGCACAGGAGAATTTTGAGACAGAATCAAACCGTTTTTGTGATTTTTGAGTTTCGAATCTTGTCTTTTGATGTTTTTTTTTCTTCCCCCCCCCCACTCCTTATTTTCCTCTGTCTCTCTCTGTGAACACAGATACCACTGCTCTGCACATCACAAAGGCTCGTCTTCAGGGCACCGCTACCTGCCTGATTGTTGTGTGTGTGCGCTTGTGTGCATGCTCCAGTCCGATCTCCCAATCTCCCATCAAATAGTGCATTAGTATGCAGGGTATTTGTGTGCCAATCTTGTGTGTGTGCATATGTGTGACTGTGCTCCTCCGCAGTGCGATTTCACAGCCACGTTCAGAAAGTGACACCTACACGGTAAGGATGGATGAATCTCTCTCCCTCTCCTACTCCTTTCTTTTTTATTAGCATCTCTTTTCCACACCTGTCACTTCACATTACAGGTTTTGTGTTGAAATGCTGGCCTCCAATCCTCTCTCTGTTCTTTCTTTGTGCTCTTTCTCATTGCCTCATCATCTTCTTGTTCAAAGTTCCACATAAATGTTCCCTTCTCAGGACTTTACAGTGTTCACTGCTGGGGTTAAATTTGGTTTTAATACCATGTTTCTTCAGGCCTCTGGTTTCTCTTTCCATGCAGGTTACAGCAGCATTTTTCCCTTGAATGATAATGACCCTTTTTCCAAACAGTGGCCTTAAATACTTCTTTTTGTTTTTTAGGGTGACATTTTGCTTTAGGAAAGTAGTTTACATGTCACAAATCCTCTAACAGAAGCAGGCTTCTTGTCTTTTTGGCTTAGCAGAGGAAACAAGTTTCTCTATCCTCCCCTTTTTCTTTTCGTTTTAATTTTTTTACACGTCTCACTACTGGGAAATTTATTATGTATTATGAATACATTATGCAACTACTTGGCACAGGGGGGCTGTTCACATCTTTCTTTCCATCATTTTCTCACACACGCACTGTGTCTGCTGCGTTTTGCAGGAATGCACAGATGGGTATCATTGGGACCCTCAGACTGAGCACTGCAAAGGTAAGGCTATGTTGAATCAAGTAACACCTTGATTCTCCTCTTGCTTCTATAATCTTGCCTTGTGTTTTACATTTCAATCTCCCATCAGACATAAACGAGTGTGAGACCATTCCTGATGCCTGCAAGGGGGAAATGAAGTGCTTCAATCACTATGGAGGCTACCTGTGCCTTCCCCGCTCTGCGTCACTCATCCCTGCTCCAGAGCCTCCTATTACACCCGCTGAGCCCTTAAACCCATGCCCTCTAGGCTACGAGCCTCAGGGAAACAGCTGTGTGGGTGGGTGTCTGGTTTGTTGGTCTGGGGGTTGGAGGTGGACAGGTGGCCGCAGGAATAGCGATTGTTAAGCATGTTTGTGTGTGCGTGTGTGTGTGGTTGTGTAAACTCATTGTTGGCGGCCACAGATTGTGAGGGACAGGTGGCTGCAACAGGTGTTAGGACTGGAGGCAGCATGTGGGTGCAATCTGTGAGGGTGTGAGTGAGCATGAGTCCACGGGAGGCGGGCAGACAGTGCAGGAATTTGGAAGATTTCACACGAGGACAGCTGCTGTGTTTTAAGACTTGTAGCGAGAAAGTGGCCTGCATGACACAGCAAACATGACTCAACATGATGTTCTCAGCTGCTGGGTGCAAGTGAGGGGAACGTAGTGGCCAGCGGCATGTAACACTCACACTGTATATGTCAGTCATGCTGCATGATGGTGTGTTCGCTCACAATAACAGCGTTTTAAACGTTTGTATCACCACACCCACAAACACAGACATCGATGAGTGCGAGAGACACGAGCACGACTGCCAACCCAGCCAGGAGTGCATCAACTCGGTGGGCGCCTTCACCTGCCAGTGTCCGGATGGATACCGGAAAGTCGGCACAGAGTGCGTTGGTGAGATATTTTGAATTTCACCTTTAATTGGTGTAATTAAGCGTAACTGGGCTATTATGCGTTTCTTTATTTTCTCTCCTATATACAATGGTGGATTTGAGTCTCAAATAATGAAGTCTGCATACATAAAAGTGTGAGCCAAGAAGTCAGACTTCAGACTGCTCTAAATGCCCAGTTTCCAACTGTTTTTTCTCCTCTTGTGGGAGCAAATGGCAGCTCAGCAAAGACCTCCTTATATGGAAATAAGGCGAGGCTTACAAGCACTCTGTTAACAGCCCATGGCCCTTTGAAACAGACAGAAATAAATAACAATTTGTTTGAACTGTGAATCATTCAAAGCTACAGAGTAAGAATATGAAGCTAGAAAAGAGCATCATAGCCCCCCCCCCTCTGTGGCAATATGCCCAAAAATCTTTAGAAATTTAAATCTTGTTCTTAATAACTCTCGTTTGTCTCGCAGATATCGATGAGTGCAGGTACAGGTACTGCCAGCATCGCTGTGTCAACGTGCCCGGCTCCTTCTCTTGTCAGTGTGAACCAGGTTTCCAGCTGGCAGGAAACAATCGATCTTGCATTGGTGAGTTTTAAGAGTACAGCAGTGTGAGTAAAAGTCCTGCATTTCTAATATTGACTAAAAAAAACTCTGAAATAATAACAATTTAAAGTAAAAGTATGTTAGGTTAACATCAAGAACTGTAATAGTTGATGTGTAATGATGCCAGTTTTTTTGGATGTTTTGCTTGCAAATGTATACTGCTGCCTCCCTCTCTCAGTATCACTCCCCATTACTTCTTGTTAATGCTGTAGTTAATTTAAACTTCTTTATATTTGTTTGGTAGTTTAAGCTATTTTTAAAAAAAAAAAAATTAGCGCTTCAATAAAACAGTTAATTACATTAGTTGCATAGTTTTTGCCTAATAGTCCAATAAGTTGCCTATTCTGTAAAACAAAGGCTAAAAAAAACTTTCCAAATGCAAAATAGAAGCAAATGGCAATACTGAATTGCCCCCAAACTGTATGTGAGTACAGTTGTCACAGCTACTTTCAAAAGTATAATTGTTTATTGAGGCTTTGACCTCGGAAAAACTCAGCTGATCTCCTTCTTCTTCATCAAATCCATGTGAGTTAAATTTGATGGGATTTGGATTACATCATTAGCTTATAACTCCACAACTGTCACTACATAATAAATCACGTTGTTCAAGTTTAATCGGTGCTTTGATTTCCAGAAGTTCATGACATCACCTTTTTCCACCAGATCCAGTCTTACGTTAAAAATAAAACTGGAAAACTGGATGTTCAACACACTGACATGAACACAGAGTTTGGGGTTTTTAACTTTATTAAAATCCTTTGATCCAGAGCCTACAACAGACCTCAGATTCTCTGCTTTTCCTCTTTTCAGATGTGAATGAATGTGAGATGGGTGCCCCCTGCTCGCAGAGATGCTACAACACATACGGCACTTTCCTCTGTCGCTGTGATCAGGGCTATGAGCTCGGGCCCGATGGCTTTGAATGTAAAGGTAATGAAGGACAAAAGGAGCGACAGTGATAGTGCACGCTTATCCCTCTCAGTTTTTTTGCTACTTAGTGATCGACAATTAATAAAACCCAACCTTGTGAATTGTTAGACATCGATGAGTGCAGCTACTCCAGTTACCTGTGCCAGTACCAGTGTGTCAACGAACCAGGGAAGTTCTCGTGCGTGTGCCCAGAGGGATACCGACTGCTGGGCACCAGAATGTGTCAGGGTGAGTGCGCCCGCCTCCATTTCCTCCTGAAACTAACACCTTCCCCTCTGTGCTCTCAGAGTCACAAATGGTGCACTGAGTCAATGCCTATTCATCCTTGTTCTCGAGCCCCTGTCTGCTGTTCAGCGAAACATCACAAGCTGTTTGCTCGCTTTAGATATAAACGAATGTGAAACGGGAGAACACGAGTGCACGGAGACGCAGAACTGTGTGAACATCCACGGACGATACCAGTGTGTGGACAAGAACAGCTGCCAGGAACCTTACATCCAAGTGTCTGACAAGTGAGTGACACTTCGTGAAAGCTTCTGTGTGCGTACGCGAACACGCAACTCCACACACCTTTTCTCAATTACTCAAATATGTGCTGGCCATCGGCTCCGAGTATAATCAGCCCCTGTGCTGAGTTTGGCTCAAACTCTAAGATTACCCCAATTACTTTTTCCACGTATGAGTCCAGCTTTTCAACCTTTTCGTTTGAATGTGTTCCAATGCAATAAGAAAACCATTACATCTGTGAACAAGTGCTGGCTCAGGAACAGGTGTGGGTCACTATTAACATATCCCTGAAGATTTAGTAGTATAAGATGATTTTTAGAAAAACACGAAGGAAAAAAATGGCCACTGTTCAATATTTGTTTAGGTTTTAGCCCTTTGCGCTCAGTCATACTACTCCCTCTGCTGGCTCATTTTCTAACTGCTCATGATGTTTTCCTGCTACTAACGCACAACTGTTCTCTTAACTGTAACTGTTTGCTCCTCTCTGTGTGCATTTGTACATCCAGCCGCTGCGTGTGCCCCGTCAACAACCCCGCCTGTCGAGAGCTGCCTTTCTCCATCGTGCACCGCTACATGAGCATCACCTCCGAGCGCTCCGTCCCCTCGGACATCTTCCAGATCCAGGCTACCAGCGTCTCTGCGAGGGCTTACAACACCTTCCGCATCCGCTCCGGTGACGAAAACGGAGACTTTTACATCAGGGTGAGGAGAGTGGGATCCTGTAATCACAACACCAGATGTCTTTAGCTCTAAATACTAACTTTAGACTGGTAATAACAATAATAATAATAACAATAACATCGCACTTCACAGTTTGAATAAAACCACACTTGAAAAATAAGTATACATGTTCCAGCATACAGACACAGAGGAAACATATGGTCTTATATTTATTCCCATATACACACTTTCATCCAGGACCAAAAATAATGGTTAAAGAAAACCTATCCTATAAAAATAAGTGTTTAAAACAAACCACTGAATCAGCTGACCTAAGAGCGTGAAACAGTTAAGACCCTGATCACATGATAGGAGAGGCTGACCTCAATAACTGAGTTATATACCCAGGAGCCTTGACATGTAGATTTTATATGCTATTAGTACAATTTTAAAAGGCAAGACTCACTTATTTTAAATCTACTATGTGTTTGGCATTGAGTATTTGTTTTCCCCTGCACATGTCCATCATCTGAGCCTCGCCTCTCTAACTTTGTCTCCAAACTGCTCAACCTGAGCTTTCCCTCTGATGAGCTCATTTCTAATCCTGTCCATTGAAAACCTCAACATCTTCAGCTCTTCCTCATGTATTTTTGTCAGTGCCACCATCTCCAAACCATCTTTTAAACTGTCCTTTTCATAGTTGACCCCCAGTAAAACTTGATAAGACATGTAATGTTGGGTGTTTTGGGTGCAATGCCCACACACCCACTAAAATCACTGAAACCTCCTCCACAGACACACAAAACAAAGGTACGATAAGTAACCTCATCTCACATTGTTTTGACTTTTATAAGCACACGTGGTTCATTACACGTATTTCTTCTTTATTTTTTCGCTTGGACTTCTTAATGTGCCGCCTGTGTTCTACTTTCACCTCACTCGTCTAGTTTTCTAGCTCCTGTTTAGGGCAAAACTGACTCTATTACCATTTTTATTGGTACATGTACTTTGGTAAGCGCAGCCCAGTGTCAACCTGAGGAGAATTTTAATCAGCTGGAATAAATGAAAAACATCTGTGTGGATGTGCAGATTCTTGAAAAAAGAAAGAAGAAGCTCACCTCATATAGAGGTGATGAGACGTTTTAAAAGAAGACACTTTGACATGTGACAGTGAGAAGAGCACCAGTGTAAATGCCACTCTGCTTTAACACTCCATTATTTTCTGTCTTCCCCAGCAAATCAATAACATCAGTGCCATGCTGGTGCTGGCCCGTGCCGTGTCAGGGCCCAGAGAGTACACGTTGGACCTGGAGATGGTGTCCATTAACCCCCTGGTCAACTACCAGAACAACTATCAGACAAGCTCCGCCCTCAGACTCTCCATCTACGTCGGGCCGTACACCTTTTAAAGAAGAAGAGCTGGAGGGGACACGGAGAGCGAGACACAGACACAAACAAGGAGAAAGAAGCTGTAAAACACAAGTGGTGGATGCAGTTCAACCAGTCACTGTGATGTTAAACTAATAGCTTTTTATACTGTGTTGTCCACGGAGAGTGACAGTTTTCTGTCTGCCCTCACTATGTGTAAAAATATACATGCAGTACCGTATGCAAACACATCGTAGCAGCAATGTCTCACAGATAACCAGCAGCCTTAAAATAATTAGTCCTGTCAAAGTCATTCCCCGTTTTCCTGTTATCATGTTTACGGTTATTCAGTCATTCGTGTAGAAAAGAGGTTTTTCTGCATTCATGGCGATAACGAATCTGTGTGACATATTTTCTGTCTGCCTTCAGGTGGAATGATTCACGCCGGGCGTCACCAGACTTATCCGTTTCACAGTTTACACCCTTATCTTCTTCTGTTTGTCACTTTATTCTTGTCAGCCCTGTTTCCTGTTGACAGACGTGATTCAGTAACCACTCACATCAGACCTCAGCACCCACGCTCCTCCTTCGCCCGCCGCTGTTCATTTCCCGATGAAATCTCCGCCACTGTTGTTCCTGAGTGTTGTACTTTGTTTTTGTTTTGTTTTTTTAAATTTTTGTTTTTAAGATTTGAACCCAAATAAAACAATAAACCCTTTCAACCATGTGTCAAGAACTAAATACAGTTTCTTTATTTCAGGTCCCTGTGGAATTTCTAGCACGCTTAGCGAGCTGAAACAAGTACTCGGTTTACTGATAAATTAATTGGTGAGGATTCTTTTAACCTTTTATATATTATATAATGGATTATGTTTGGGTTTCAACTGCAAAATGGAGCGCCATAAAATTAAGGAGTGGTCAGCAGATCATAAATATTAGAAAACCTAATATTTTCTGACAAGCATAGTGAAGCACTGGGAAATTGCTTTGTACTTCTTTATTGAACCCACACTAACCCGTTAATCCCAATCAATTAATTTTTTTTTCCTTTAGGAAGAAAAGAAGAAAACAAAAAGTCTGTTTAAGGTATAAACCTGACCATTGTGTCACTTGCTGGGTTGCCACTGGTGGAAAAACCACTATTACCAGTGAGGGTTTTCCATCCCTCAGTTTCAAGAAGCTGTAATGAGCCCGTTACTCGACAGACTGCCTGTCTACATCACATAATTCATACTTTTTTTTTTATCAGCCGGAAACCCAAGTGATGTTTTTATTATTTCTTGTCTGGGTTCAACACAAAGACATATACTTTCTATTCAGTGATAAGAATCGGATTAATAAAATACATCCAACAACTTTTATGACCAAAATATGTACTATATCTTCTCTACAAATGACCAAATGATCTCACCCCTTCCTCTCTTTCTTTATCAACAGCCTGCTCTCTAATACACTCTTTTGAAATCCTGCCCATCCTGTCTGCTCAAAATGAGAAACATTAAAAGCTCAACTTAGAAAGTTCCTTTCGTTTTCGCCTCCACTTCTTTGCTGTACTATATCTATTGCTTTTTAAGCTCAGCCACCTTCGCTGCTCGTTTCATTTTCACAATGAGACCTGTTTTACTGTCGCCACATTCCTGTTGTGTTGAGGACACATTCACTTTTCCAGGCTGTTAACTACTCTCACCATGTCAGTTGTGATTTGTGTGGTTCAAAATGTGAACGCCCAACGTGGGGCTCGAACCCACGACCCTGAGATTAAGAGTCTCATGCTCTACCGACTGAGCTAGCCGGGCTTACAGAGAGGTATACAGTTAGCTATTTTGGCTGTAGTAGCCTAACAAAAAGCTAGTTAGCCTAGCTGATACACATGTATTCAAAGCAGCCAAATACCTAAAGAATGCATCAATAACAATTAAGAGAAGTGAATAAAAAGAAAATTACCCGTTGCACAGAAGAAAGGACCTAGTCACAAAGACCACAACAGTTTTCTCTGCTATGCTGTGAACCCGTTTTTTCTGCCAACATGGTGAGAATGGACTCCGTGCTGCCACCCTCAAGTGGCCACTAGAGGAACTGCAGTTGTTTGTACTTAAACGCTTGGGAGTTTCTGCTTGCCATCAAACAAATGAGATGCTTCACTGGACTGACTGATTGGTATGCCTGCTTAACTGACCCTCTTCCTGTAAGTAGCAGTGCAGTGTCTACACAGGACCGTCTCCCGCACAGTGGGGAGTGTCTTCAAGCTGACATTTAATTGCACTTTCCCACAAACAAGGAGTCCGGAGCAGAGTTTTATAGCTGCGCTGCATCTGCCTGGTTTGATCATGGCTGAGCAGCTGACGTACTGCTTCATCTATATGACCTCTAGAGTTCATCCTCCCTCTTTTAGCCTTACAGATTCTTGCTAGTTGAGTCAGAAAGTTTTAGACATTGCTCTCTGACCTAATCCCTACTCCTACCTGAAGCAAAGACCAGCACTCCAAACCTGTCCCACTGTATCCCTCTGTCTGCCCCGTGACCCTTCACGGCAAAGGAAAAATGATGGTTTCATCTCACTTTGTATGTCAGGAACTATATGAGTGCAGGCAGGTCTACAGGGTCATCTCAAAAACTGCTGTTTTGCTGAGTTGGACCACGACAGCGAGAACAACTCACACAGTGTGCTCAAACGTCCCGGAACCACCTCCTCTTTACCTGCACCCACACACTCAGCACGAGCCTCCCAAGAAAGACGTGTACAGAATGTGCTCCTGTTTTCAACATCATGGCAGCTTTCAGCCAGTTCTCCAAAACAAACTCAGTAATGAAAGACAGAGAAACTGCTCTCCCTTTTTGTTACATTCATTAATGACATGGATATTCTCTATATCTACACAAAGAAGAGGCAGATGCATCTCATACGTGCCTCCTAACATCCTCAGGACCTCCAGCCTTGTTTTAGTCAAACACCATTGGAGCTCTGCTGCATCTGCTCCATTTTTACTGTCACAGCAACTTCACTGGAGCAGTAACTGATTCTCCTGACCCACAAAAAAAGAAAAAAATCTGAGGAAAAACAGACAGAGAGAGGGAGAAAAGGGAGCGAGAGAGGGGGAAGCCCTTATTTCACAGTCCACTGCTGTTTTCTCCGCCCAGTCCTACACACAAACACACTCACACACCGAAACACCACGCACACCTCCCATCTGTCCTCAGTGGGGGGGCGGAGGAGGAAGATGGGGGGTGGGGGTGATGATGACTCACCCACTGCCCTGTTTTATGTAATCGGAGCAGACAGGCTTAAGCCACCAGGGGGCAGCAGATCCTGCAGATCTCATCTGCAGCAGGCCAAGAATAGCAACAACCAGAGGAGACGGTGCTTGGTTTTATAACCTAATTTACTATCGGGCCTACATTTTCTCCCATTTTCAGCGAGTCATGCACCTGTAGGAGGAACAACTGATGGGAACTTTGTCTACTTTTCACAAATAATGTACTGTACAGCAATTTAGAAGCTCATCCCCCCCCGCCGCCCCGCCCCCTTTGTATAACCTGGCATCATATGATGGAGAACAAACATGTGTCGGGTGATGGTGTTAAAGAGTGCAGCAGAGTAGGAGGTGTGTGTGTGTGTGTGTGTGTGTGTGTGTGTGTTCAGTTAAGGGAAGAGTAGCCCTGGCATTTCCTGTTGGCATTCACACAGAAATAGACCCCGACAGGGGCAGACAACATAATGGGTGAATTTCTCAGCAGGACTGGGGTTCAGTGGGTAAGCCGGCCTCTGGGCTTCACCCGCAAAATTTTACTGAGCATGTCACAAATCTGCAATAAAGAGAAGGTTCATAAATGACTACAAATAGGTGCAAAAAAAGTCAGAAGGGGATGCAAAATTCCCACAGAGACACCCAAGAGACCATAAAGTAATACAAAATAACCAAGAAATGATCCAATATGACAAGAAATGATCTCAACTAACATAAGGTGAAAACTGGGTTAAAGTAGATGAAAGATGCCAGCAAACACGCAGACAAAGACATAGAGCGGCTAAAAGAGCCCCAAAAGATGAAGACGATGATTAGAATGGAGCACAAACGTCTGGGATGGTGTAGATGGTGTAGCAAGGCCTTGTGTATGTCTCATAATCTATATTTGCGGGGTGTAATGGTTCAAAGGATCCACAGGAGAGTGCGTGAGTAGATTTGTGCGTGCAACCAGCATGTATTTGTGTTTATGTGATTATATATATGTGTGAGTGCTGTGAGTGCAAGGTGTGGGTGTTTACATAGGAGAGCATGTGTTTGAGAGTGTCAGTGCCCACACAGATGAGGGGGAGGAGTGTTTGGGGTGGCAGAGGGGAGTGTTGGAGCATTTGGGCCTCAGTTTTTTTGGCTCCATGGATGGAGTATGATCTCATTTCTGGGCAAGCCGTGCCCCGTAGGCCGCAGTGGGGGAATGGTGTGGGTGTGGAAGCTCAAAATTGAAGCTTCATGTGGTGGTACCAACCACTTAAACGCAATGGAACAAACATGGCCGACAGAAATGCTTTCTTTCCATGTCGTACAATCATGCTCTGTTCTTCAATTTGAGACACGTTGCCATGATGGAGGAGCAATCTTTTCCCCTTTGATCTCCTCCTGTTGCATTACAAAAAGCTCTCAAAGCCTCCCCCTCCACTACACTACAATGCAGGTATTATATTTATGAATGAAAGAGCGAGGTGGAGTGTCATTTCCCTCCACCCACAACCCCGAACACTGAATGAGTTCATTAATGAAAAGAGCGGGGAGCGAAATCTGCAGGACATGAAAAACAGGATGCACAGTACAAGGAGGGCTGAGTGATTAGAGAGTGTAAATTAGTGAGGGCATGAGGCAGGAAATGGCTCTCTCCTCTGGATATTTGCATGGAGTATATATAGATATATGGAGAGGGGTGATCAGTGGGGGAGGGCAATTATGAAATACAACATAAACAATAGCATCAAGGACTAATTTAAAAAAACAAAAAAAACAAGACATGGTTCTGACTCTGGATACTGCCATTTACAGACAGGTTATAAATCAGACATTGTTTTGTTCCACAGAAACAACACAGGTTCATAAACAGAGTGCATTAATGTACTAATGTATTGCATTTTTGGATGCAATCAAACATCTCTGATTGGAAATAAAAACATAAACCCTAAAGATGGTTTAAACTAAGTGCAGTCCTTGCATCACTAATAATATCTCGGGCTGTGTACAGCAGGAAAGATTGCAGAGTAGACCAGCTTTGCAAGAAATAAAACCACTCCATTAAAAGGAAAAAAAAACCCCAAGTAATTTTAAGTCCCATCCCTTTATTTTTGGGCTCTATTAGTGTGGCTTTGCAAGATTAAAAGTAAAAATAAATAAATAAAATCTTTACTTATCTTATGGTGGGCCTTGGTACATCCCTCCAGTTGATCAGGGGGTCAGGGGTAAAAACACTTATTAGCAATGCCCAGATATTGTAATACCTCTCTAAAGTAAGAACCTGAACATGAACCCTTCAGATTAAGAGGTTGGAGACTCTGAAGAATTCTTCCTTTTAATATATGATAGTAACTCTTAAATTTAATTTGATTCTTAAAAGTCTAGTTTTTTTGTCTACTAGTTTTTTTTCACTATATATACTATATATATACTTTATTTAACAAACTACTTTTTTCATACTCTCAAAGATTTTGTGCTTAATTTCTCCTGAATGTCCTGCAAATATGTTTTAAAATGCTTTTAAAGACGATCTGGCTAGAGAATGACATTTGAAAATTAGCCCGTTAGCTAAGAGTAGGTAATTGCCCCGAAGCTAATCAAACAAATAAACAAAATACACCTTCACAAGGATATATTTAAAGACAGATAAACTGAGTTTTAGATAAGGTTACTGCATTAATATCTATACGGTTAAACTTCACTGTGCTATAAAATCTTGAGCTAAATGCTAGAGCTAGCATGGTAACATGCTAACAATCATAGATTTAAAAGGTAATTTAACATATAAAACACATGCATTCCTACTAATAATGACATGGAAGATACAAAGGAAAAACACTATTTTATATTTATATATCACCCAGTATTTTTTTTTTCTCTGTGTGTATCTTTTTCTGTACAACAACACCAATATTCCCATAAATAACGGGTGCGGATAAAATACAAAACTTACGAAAGATAAAGAAAACAAAGTGTCTAAGGCTCAAAATTCAAAATTTTACAGTTGAGTTGGTAGATAAAAGTAAATATTTTGTGCAGACTTTTACTTAGAATGGCAGCATTAAGTTACTATCTATGCGTTCTCCACACAGAGTCCCATGAATTAGGCTAATTACTAAAGATACTCATTAGGGAGCTCGAATAAGTTAGATAAAATATTTATAAAAGCCTAAATGCTATTAAAACTATTACAAATGCCTTTGTAGAAGACAGTGAAATAAGAGGGAAAAACCCCTAATGCAGGAAAAAAAGAAATATGTGTATCAACAGTTTTCTGTCAATGTGACTGTAAGGATTCTACCATTCTCATAATGACTGAATTAATGATAACATTTTTTTTGCACTCATAAGGCTTTCTATGTTAATCATGCTGGTTTAGCATGGTAGTGTAGAATTTATTTATTTCTGCAGGTAAAATTGTTGAACAAAATGAAGATTTTATTCAAAATTGCAAAATTAAAAAAGAAATCTGGGATAATCGCTCTATCAATCTGAACAGGAAAAGTGGATGTATAGATAACTGTTGCTAGCCTGGTTATATGCGTTCAATGACCTCTTTGTTGGGTGCACCTATTCAACTGCTTGCTACCAAAAATATCAGCTAATCCTATGGTAATTCAATAAATGTAGGTATGCAGATGTATTTAAGACGACCTGCTGATTTTCCAACTGAGTATCAGAATGGAAAAGAAAGGTGATTTAAGTGACTCAAGTGCTTTACAACACAACCATTGCTAGGGTTTACAGCGAATGGTCCAAAAAAGAGAAAATATCCAGTGAGCAGAAATGCTCTGGTTGAAAAAGTCGTGGTAATCCCAGAGGTCAGAGGAGAATGGCCAGACTGCGTCAAGCAGATAGAAATGCAACAGTAACTCAAGCACTCAAAATAGCCAAGGTATGCAGAAGAGCATTTGTGAACACAACAGGTTGAACTACACTGGCAACATGGTGGCACGGTGATAAGGA